TATGCTTAAATAGTAATGGAAAGTGAGATGGGATGAAAGAAAAGGAAACCAGATTGAACATGATCAGGGTTGTGGTAAAACCCTTCAGCCGACGAGATGAGCGGGACGGTGGGAGGGAAGAGGCTGAGAGGGGAGTGGAGGAGAGATGAGAGAGGGAGGTGGGAGAGAGAGAGAGGAAGGAGGTGGGAGGGAGAGAGAGGGAGGAGGTGGCGAGGGAGAGAGGAGGAGAAGAGAGAAGAGTGGGAGAGAGAGAGAGAGAGAGAAGGAGGTGGCGAGGAGAGAGAGGAAGGAGGTGGAGGGAGAGAGAGAGAAGGACGCGGTGGGAGGGAGGAGACGCAGAGAAGGAGGTGGAGAGGAGAGAAGAGAAGGAGTGGAGAGAGAGAGAGAGAGAGAAGGGAGTGGGGGTGAGAGAGGAAGGGAGGTGAGGGAGAAGGAGAGAGGAGGAGGTGGGAGGGAGGAGAGAGAAGAGGAGGAGGTGGAGAGAGAGAGAGGGGAGTGGAGGTGGGAGGGAGAGGAGAGAGGAGAGGCCCGAGGAGAGGAAGAGGTAGGAGTCGGGGGGAGAGAGAGAGAGAGGAGGGAGGTGGGAGGAGAGAGAGAGGAGCGAGGTGGAGGGAGAGGAGAGAGAATGGAGGTGGGAGAGAAGAGGAGGAGGTGGAGGAGAGAGAGGAGGAGGGTTGGAGGTAGAGAGAGGAGGAGGTGGGAGGGAGAGAGGGAGGACGGTGGGAGGAGATGAGAGAAGGAGTTGGATGAAGAGATGACCGGAGAAGAGAAGTAGAGAGAGAGAAGGAGGTGGGAGGGATTAGAGAGAAGGAGGTGGGAGGAGGAGAAGAGAAGAGGTGGGAGGAGAGAGAGGAGGAGAAGGTGGGAGGGAGAGAGAGAATGAGGTGGAGAGAGAGAGAAGAGGTGGGAGGAAGAGAGAAGGAGGTGGGAGGGAGAGAGGAGGAGTGGAGAGGGGAGAGAGGAAGGAGGTGGAGAGAGAGAGAGAGAAGGAGCTGGTGGAGAGAGAGAGAGAGAGAGAAGAGAGAAGGAGGTGGGAGGCAGAGAGAGAGGAGGAGGTGGGAGTGAAGGGGGGCTTGGTTTCTCTGGACTTCCCTGGTTGAAGGAGGGGAAGGGGTCATGGGGCCTCACCTTGTCCAGGGTAGCGCTGCAGGGACACTGGGGGATGCCTTTTGCAGGACATGTACTCGGATTCTGGTTGGTAAACAGGTTGCGGTAGCTTGTATTGAGTAGAATGGTCACTTACTCTCTGAGTACTGAAATCAATTGGGTTAATTCTGAAAATGTTGATCCATTTAGTTTAATTTGTTGACGGGGCTTCATTGCCTTCCTAATAAAACAGGTGGAATGTGTTAAAGCACTGGGGAGTTTCCTAACTTTTGTTAAATCTTATTTCTTCTTGTTCTTTTTCATCAAGCAGAGGAATTACGGAAGTTGAGCTGGTCGGAATCCCTAAGCCAGTGCGTCCAATGACGTGGAAGCTCCTCTCAGTAAGTCCACCGCGCCGCCCATCGAGCGCCTCCTTCCTGGTGCGCAGGGACTGCGGGTGTCTGGCCTGAGTAGGGCCTGACAGCACTGCCACGGGTGGTTTGCCCTGGCTTTGTTGCAGTGATAAAGGCCTTTGCTATGGCTAAACTGACATTTTCCATTCTTTGCTTAATTTTAAGCTTGGTTTCACAGCACTGGCAGAAAACAAAGATAGATCATAATTATGACAATGGTGTTTTTTTCCTCAGATTTTATTAATAGAAAATCTTTATATGTTCCAGCCTGTGATATAGAAAGGTTTCAGCATAGATGCTTATTTCAACTCTGAGGAGTTGAAACAGGGAAATACGTTTTAAATTTGTTTGAGATATGCTGAAAACAAGGGCATATGTTTTACCAAGTTTTTTTTTGTAAGTATTAGTAGTGTTGTTAGGAAAAGAAGAAAATGGATGAGAGAAGCGGTTTGTGTTTCTTGGGTGGAGTGTGGAGTTCCGGCTGCCTCAGCTCTAGCGCTGAGCTGCCTGTCTGGAGCGCTTTGGGAAAGGTTGGGGTAGGTGGTGGTGACCATCAGCGCGCCCTCGTACTCTTAGCTCGGGCTTACCATTGCAAGTGAGTTTGGCCCTGCTGACCATTTCAGAACTGGTTATAGACAGTTTTCTTCTCTTTTCCTTTTTCATTATTTTTGGAGCTAAGTCAATAGTGTGCTCTAAGTGTTTACTCTAAATTGGGTCTGACTTTTAGTATTTAAAAGACTTTCTGGCTAATGAGTCTTAATAAATTTGCAACTTAGTACCTCGTAATCGTAAATGCAGATGGAGCTCTGAACAGTGAATATTTATTGATTAAATATTCCTTGCAGTTAAAATTAGACTTGCTGCGATTGCTTATGTTTTAGTTTTGTGCTTTTGTATTTTAACCTAGTTTTCCAGTTTATATCCAGTTTTCTAAATGTCCCCTCAGATAGGTTGCAAACTTCTCAGGTTAGTTTGTAGGAAGTTTTGATGAAAATACCGAACTGCAGTTTTCTGTTTGTTAAGGATGTGCCGTGTCTAGGTGGAAGTCTCACGTGAGTTATTTTGTATTGTTCTTTCTCTTCTAGTTCTCAGCCTCCGTGGGTTATGGTTCCACTTCCCTAATGTGTGTAGCATAGGGGCTGATGTGGAAATGGACACTGGTTTCAGGGGACAGAGGAGCAGAGAGGGAGGTGACAGACAGCCCCACTTTGCTGGTTGTGGACAGGAGGGCAGGCGGGTGTAGGTGGAGTCTGAGCCAGGAATCCTGGCGAGGCAAGTGAGAGTGTGTGAACCCAGGAAATCTGAGACGGTCTCAGTTGATTTAGAAAGTTTGTCTTGCCAAGGTTGAGGGCGCACTGGTGACACAGCCTCAGGAGGTCCTGGCAACACGTGCCCAAGGTGGTCAGGGCACAGCTTGGTTTTATACACTTAGGGAGACATGAGACATTGATCAAAACATGTAAAAAGTGGCGAGGGAGCTTCCAGGTCACAGATAGGTTATCCACGAATGGTTACATTCTTTTGAGTTTCTGATGAACCTTTCCAAAGGAAGCAAATCAGATGTGCATCTGTCTCAGTGAGCAGAGGAGTGACTTTGAATAGAATGGGAGGCAGGTTTGCCCTGAGCAGTTGCCAGCTTGAGTTTTTTAGTGATCTTGGGGGCCCAAGTATTTTCCTTTCATAAGAGAAAGCCTGAGCATTCTCAGGGCTTTGTCGTATGAAAGGAAAGACACATGCAGTCCTTTAACCATCATTCCTTGCAGGGTCCTTTGCTTGGGAGATGGAGATGAATTAGACACTAGCCTGCCATTAGGAGGAGGTCGGGTGCTGCAGACTTGTGGTGGGACAGTGGTGGTGGAGGCCGGGACTACATACTGTAGGTTGGACAGGACACAAGTATGAACCAGGGGGTGGAGGAGTACCACAGCGTGGGGGCAGTTTAGTGCTGAGGGTCAGCTTCTGCTAGGAGGGGACTTCACACCTGGGATCTGCCAGGCCATGGCAGGTGAGGAAGGAGGGGAGGGTGTGGAGACTTGCAGTCACAAGGCACAGGGGTGAACATGGTCGTTCTTGGCCCTCTCTGGGCTTGGATTGACAGATGAGTAGAAAATGAATGTTAGGTCAGGGAGCAAAGCTTGTCCTTGCAAGTGCAGGGTGCTAAGAAGGGTTCATGAGGATGCCAGGTAAGTCTTCTTGGGGAAGGTGGCATCTTACGTGACGTCTCAAAAGGGATGTTAGTGTTCTCTCTGCTAGTGGGAAGTGGGGAGGCTGTAACAGCTGGGGCACACGGTCGGGGTGGGACAAGCAGGAACATAGGCTGGGGTAGAGGGGCCCAAGAGGAGGCCAGGTGACGGGCGCCCTACTGCCCTCCCTATCGCCCCATTGCTTGGGTTTTATCCTGAAGGATTTAAGTGGGGAGTGGTGAGCCTGTGTTTCTGGAAGAGAAAAGCCTTGAAAGAGCCATTGGTTGGTTCATTCTTTCATCCATTCCATTAATCCATTGCATTCATCCATTCATTCATCCATTAGCATTTATTGAGCACTTTGTGTTTTAGGCACTGTGTTGGGTGCTGGGAAATAGCAGGCAGGGAAGAAGACCAAGTTGTCCCCCTGGGACCCGCAGAACAGACGGTAGATGGTCTTTTTCTCTTACCCTCTCCAGCCCCGTGAGACCTAGGCCACATGGAGACAGAGCCCGTTCTCTCGGGATCTTATTCCCGTGCTCCCAGTGCACTGCTGCCCTGTGTCTGTCCCTGGCTGAGCGCCTGCCCTGCATCAGACCATGCATTCAGACGTTCTTGCGGACAGGCATGTGGGCAGGCAACTCCGGGACCCGGCTGTTCTTGCCCAGTGTCTGGCTTGGAGGAGCAGTGCTGGTTGTAAGGGGAGGCTGCTCCTGGCGGGCTCTTGGGAGGGGACTAGAGCTGGGACAGGAAGAACTGGGAAGCGACAGGGAAGGGAGTTGAGGGGCCAAAGGCTACAGGGGTGGGGTAAGAGGACTCTCGCGACTAGAGTAGGGAGCAAGCGTTGGTTCATTTTCCGGGAGCAAGTGCTCGCTGTGCATTCACCACGCTCCGTGCCCTGTGTTGGTGAGCACTGATGCCATCCAGCTTGTTGGTGAGCACTGATGCCATCCAGCTTGTTGGTGAGCACTGATGCCATCCAGCTCTCCAGGCTGTCATGCTGCACCGTGGCTCTGGGCCTTCTGTAAGAGTAGAGATTTGGGGAGCACAGTGCACGATGCCAGTCA